GGCATACTGCCACTCTAGCGGCGAGAAGGAATGCAGCAGCTGGGTGTCATCAGCATATAAGTACGAAGAACAATGTTTCAAGCAACCTACAATATTAAAACTGTAAATACAAAAAAGAAGTGGTCCCAAGATTGAGCCCTGAGGCACCCCACAATAAATACTTCCCATATCAGAAATCCCAGCGTTTGTTTCTACATATTGAAACCGACCAGAAAGATAACTCTTCATCATCTCGATCGAACTTTCCGAGAACCCAATGTGGTGTAAAATCGAGAATAAGATCTCGTGATTGATTCTGTCAAACGCCTTGGAATAGTCCAACAGTACCAGAGCAGAACACTTACCATCATCAGTTGCTTTTATAATGTCATCCACGACGTCAAGGAGGCAAGTGGCGCAGCTATATCCCTTTCTAAAACCGGACTGTCTTTGAGGCAAAATATTGAAAGTATTAATATGTTCTCTTATTTGCCCTGCCAAAATTTTCTCCATCACCTTAGATAATGGGGACAAAATTGAAATAGGACGTAAATCACTATAGTCTCTTGCTTCTTTTTTTTTGGGAAGTGGAAGTACTCTGGATATTTTCCATGAGTTTGGGAAATAATTTTCAAGTAAACAGGTATTATATATATGGACCAAAAAAGGCATAATATGGGGACAGCACAGCAACAGCATGTCAATATTTACCAAATCATGACCCAAGGCCTTAGATTTAATTTCCACTAAATAATTGTGGACAATGCGCTCGTCTACCAATAAAAATGATAGATTAGGTTCAAAGTTTGTTCTCAATGAAGATGATAAATAAAAGTCGACCAATCCCTGTTCAGGAACGGTGTATTTTGAGAACTGCAAAAAATAGTTGTTTATTTCGTTGGGTTTATTCAAATTTGTAGGCAAAACATTATTAGGTTTTTTATTATAAACATCAAGATTTGCAAATTCCTTCCATAGTGCTCTGCCATCATTTCTATATTTAGCAACGCAAAATTCTAGGTAACCCTTTTTTTCTCTATTTATGGCATTAGTGGTTTCGTTCTTAACCTGTTTATAATATTCCCAGTCATTCTTTAGTTTAGTTTTTTTGAATTTATTAAATGCTTTATTTTTTAGTGATACAAGCTTTTTTATAGGGTCTGTGAACCAAGGAGGGTGAACCTTTTTTTTCTTGAATTCTTTTATTGGGGCAATAAAGTCAAATAATTCTAAGATTAACTTAGTTAAATAAGCGACCTTGGCGTTGACGTCGATTAAATTTATGATATCTTGAAATGGAGTATTTACCAACAATTCATTAAAATGGTCTCTATCTATCCGTCTTAAGCTTCTAGCTTTAAAACTAGTACAATGAAGTTTTGTTTTATTTGATCCACACTGACAAAAAACCAGTGAATGATCAGATATATTATAAACATTTTCAGTGCCAAAAATACAATTTTCTCTGATAGAGACAACTATAACATCCAATAACGAAGACGAATTTTTTGCTACCCTTGTGGGTACATTTATAATTTGTTTTAGATTAAAGCAACTTAAAGTATTTTCAAAATTTAGGATATTTCGATTATCATTGTCAAGCATGTCAATGTTGATATCCCCTCCACACAAAATGTCAGAGCACACCGGTAAAAATTCGGATATAGAATCCTCAAATGACTCCAAAAAATCTCGAAAATTTCCAGCAGGTGGCCTGTAAAAAGAGCCGAAAATGTAGGTTTTTTTATTTATTATGATCTTTAACCAGATTTCCTCCAAAAATTCCGCAATATTTCCCCTCAGATGCTCATACCTCAATCCAGATCTCAAATACACAGCCACACCACCGCCTCTAGTGGGCCTATCCTTACGAATAAGCATATACCCATCTATAGTAAGTAAATTGTTATGAATACTATTTGATAGCCACGTCTCTGATAATCCTATCACATCATACCTCTTTTGTAACAAAAACGTCTTGAATTCTGAGAAATTTTTAGCCAGTGACCGGATATTAAAAAAGGCAAAAGAAAAGTTATTCATTATACGCAATTCCCTATCCAGATTGTTGAACAAGAAACTATATGAATAAGCTCGAAAATTGCACAACCTAAGATAAAATATTAATGTTTAATTACAAAGTAATGATTAATTACACAAATGAAAATAATAATAATAACAATAATAATATAATTAATTGTAGTGTTCACAAGGGCTCGCTATTCATTACCTTAAATATTCGTTAGATCTTCAATGCATCTGATATACTGTTTTTTATTATTATTTTTAACAAAGATTTTCCCACCTCTTGTCCAAACATCAGCCTCCCCCATCTTCTCTTTGACAGCCAACAGTAGCTCGTAGCGGATTCTAGTCAACTCCTCAACCAAAACCATTTTGGTACCCTTCAATCTTTTTTTGTTAAAAAATACTTGATTGCGCTGTAGAACCGACGAAAACTTAATAATAACTGGCCGGGGCTTGGATGGATTTTGTGATTTGGCTTCTATGCGGTAACAATCTTCCATAGAAATATCTTGCACCTGAACATTGGTTTGAATAACTTGTTGAACTTTTGTTTTCAAATCTTCGGTAGAGCTTTCAGGAAGCCCATATAATCTTAGCTGGTTTAACTTACTGCCTTGTTCCAACTCATCAACTTTCTTGGATAGATTTTCCTTCTCAATTTCCAGATCAGATATTTTATCTTTCAATGCGTTTATTTGCTCAGTGAGTTTACTGGTAACCAAATTGGCGATTGTATTTGCAAAAGAAGTCATGAACGTAGCATCGTTAAAACATTCCTGAATACAGTTTTTTATTTCACTTTTTGTTTGCTTGGTATAAACCATGTTGAAAACCAGATATTATAATTCACTAATTCACGCACAAGGCACTGGATTGCTAGTTAAAAAAAAAATAAAATAATCCTTAAATTCAGTGGAATTCAACAGTCCTCAAACCACTATCCACCTTTTAATAATTAAATTCACGTATAAACACTGAAATCAGACTTTAACTGCAGAGCCACGAGTAAACAGCCTACTCGATACGATACATGCTACGTTACTTTACTACGTTACTTCTCGTTAGGTGTCACTGTGTTGACTGATAATAATTAATTTGTCATTGTTTTGCTTATATTTTTGTAATCTTAATCACTTTGCCTTTGTATTTTTTTTATTTTATTTTTATATTTTTATATTTTTTGTGTTTTTTTTGTCTTTTTACAATTTTATCAATGTATTGTGATGTTGTTATGTGCAATCGAGTGTTCCATCCTGAAAATCTGACCACATAATTTTTTAAGTACAAGGTATGTAAACTTTATTTTTGTTAGCACTTTTTTGATGCTCTTAATATATATATATTTAAGCCCTGATGAAGCCCTAAACTTTTGGGCGAAACGTTGGCAAAGACTTAACAGGCCTTTTATTTTTTGTCTTAACCGACAAATCACCCCCCTTCAATCCTATACCGGGTGACCACGAGATTACTGACCAAGCTCTAGTTCAGGCATGAATATCAACATCGATTTCAAGTTTTGAGGATGTATATTATTGATATCGATGCAGAATTTCGCTATAAAAACAATCGACTATCGCTTCTGGTTTGACCGCAAGTGCCATCAACTTCTTTATTTCAACAAGATCACCCCCTATATTATTACATTTTTGGATTCTATGAGAAATTCTAAGCATATTTTATGTATAATATCCTATACCTAACTTAAACAGTTTTCAAGAAAATCGCGATTGAAAATGTCAAAAAATAATTTTTATTTTAGTTTTGACAGCAAACAATGGAAAGAAGGTTGAAGCTTTTACGATATTTTTAACTCATTTTAGAAGCGCTAAAGGGTCCCACAACAAAACTAAAACTTCCGGTTCAATCGAAGATTTTCGGTCGATCTACTTTTGAGGTTATGTTACTGCAATAATTTCAATGGTATACCATACTTAGAACTAAAAATTCGTATTCTAAGAACAATTTTGAATCTTTTTTGTGTACGCTTTCCTATACCTAAAGTCTACTGTTTTTGAGATATTTGACACTTGATGTAAGGATGTCTTTGGAACAACGAATACCAAAAACAGTATTAACAGCATTAATTTTAATCCTTTTTATAAGTTTATTTAAATAGATCACACAGAATGCAGTTTCATTTGTTGTGTTCCTTGAATTGATTTGCACTGTTACCCAAAGGTCGCAAATAGACCAAAAAGTTAGGGACGCAAACGTGAACAATACAAACGTGAACAATACTGTAAAATATCTCAAAAACAGTAGACTTTAGGTATAGGAAAGCGTATACAAAAAAGATTCAAAATTGTTCCTAGAATACGAATTTTCAGTTGTAAGTATGGGATACCATTGAAATTATTGCAGTAACATAACCTCAAAAGTAGACCGACCGAAAACCTTCGATTGAACCGGAACTGATATTTTTGTGGTGGGACCCTTTAGTGCTTCTAAAATGAGTTAAAAATATCGTAAAAGCTTCAACCTTCTTTCCATTGTTTGCTGTCAAAACTAAAATAAAAATTATTTTTTGACATTTTCAATCGCGATTTTCTTGAAAACTGTTTAAGTTAGGTATAGGATATTATACATAAAATATGCTTAGCATTTCTCATAGAATCCAAAAATGTAATAATATAGGGGGTGATCTGGTTGAAATAAAGAAGTTGATGGCACTTGCCGTCGAACCAAAAGCGATAGTCGATTGTTTTTATAGCGAAATTCTGCATCGATATCAATAATATACATCCTCAAAACTTGCAATCGATATTGATATTCATGCCTGAACTAGAGCTTGGTCAGTAATCTCGTGGTCACCCGGTATATGTATAATATACTATTTCAAAAAATCGTATAGGTACTCAATAATAATTCAATCACTATCACTAGAAAGATTACTAGTAGAAATTATTCGCAGAGAATCGAGAAGCGGTTAATTTTACCGGCATAATACGAAAATACCAATATAATGATAACGATAGCAAATAAGACATTGAGAAATGCCTCCAACTCCCCTAATACTAGAAAAATATGATAACATATTAAAAAAAATTCATTGGGTCTTAGGTAAATGCCTCACCAACATATCAATCAAAATCCACTGTTTTTCCAGACACATCAGTTGTATTGTCTAATGTCTAAAGGTGAAAGAATATTTTGTTTCGTGTGGCTGGAAAAATATTTATTTTTCGCCTTTTGTTTTTTTTTTTTTTAACATACAAGAATGAGCATCATGTAATCAGTATTCATTAATTTGAAGCTTACAGAGAACGAAAAATGACTAGTATAACTAAATGTCTTGAAAAAGTTATCCTCCTCGGTCAAATCTTCGGTTATTTTCCAGTACAAAACATCACGAAGCCCACTCAAACATTCTCTTTCAGATCGATACGATTTTTCTATTCGCTATTTTCAATCACAGGCTCAATATTTTTATGCATATTGCAAATTAACAAAGCCTCAAAATTAAAATTAGCCATTTCTCAAGTTGATTACGTAGCAAAGGATGCCGCGTCAGCTTATGTTGCTATATTGTTTATAGATTTAGCTAGGCATTGGCCTAAGTTGATGCTAAAATGGAGAGAAGTTGAACAAGATATGGAAGGATATCGATTTCCAAAGGGCCTTAATAGAAAAATTATTTTATTATTGATAAGTTTTACGAGCATGTTTTTAGGTAAGGATTTTTTGGAGAGTCTAAAATGGTTTTGAAAATATTTTCTTTAGTTGAGTTTGGCTTGCATCAAGCTTCCAGAATATACAGGGTTATTGAATGTCAAACAGATCAAGATAAAGCAGTAGATTTCTTTTTTGGAAACTTAACATTATCACACATATTTGATCATATACCATATAATATACCAACAAGTTTAATGTTTCAGGTAAAGAAAAAAAATTCTATACATTCTAAAGAATTTCTTTTCAGAAAGAAAATTATTTATTATTTGTTTCAGTATTGGTTTTTGCAAATAGATTTTGGATTTACTTACACTGATTTATTCGTGATGGTCATAAGTATATCATTAGCAAGTAGAATGACTCAAGTTTGCAATAAAATCAAATTAGCTTGTCAAAAACAAATTTCCAATGAACAAACCTGGATTAACTTACGAAGAGACTATTTGAGACTAGAAAGTTTATGTCATTTAGTCAACGATCAAATTTCAAATATAATTTTAGTTTCATTTCTACCTAATATTTTCACTATACTTACAAGGGTGTATAATTCTTTGAAACCAAAACAAAATTACTTAGAAGACATTTATTTTTATTTTTCTTTGGCATTTTTAATATCCAGAACAGTTACGGTATGTATTTGTGCTGCTTTAGTCCATGAGGAGAGCAGAAAACCTTTGAACATTTTAAATTCTGTACCACATAATGTTTATAATAATGAGGTATGCACTACTTTGTAGGCTTTCAGTTGTTTATAACATTTGTTTTAGATTGAAGTGTTTATAAATCAACTTTTACATATCGAAATTTCAATGAATGGAAAGCACTTTTTTAATATTAAACGACAACTGATTCTTAAAATTGCTGGAGCTATGGTTACGTATGAGTTGGTTTTAATCCAATTCAACCAGGAAAACTTGCAGTCTTGGTCTCGATCTACAAGATGCGCATGAAAGAATTATGCAACAAACATTAGGTGTATCACTTTTTCATTCGAAATTAAATACTTTGTCTCTTCAAATTTTCGTCTTTTTTTTTTTAAAGCATAAACTTTTTTTTCTATTTTATCATCGAGTAGATGAAGTATAGTATAATTGTGTGAAGTGTCAATATACATAGTTCAAAACGATGAAATGGTGTGTTACAAATAAAGGTAGTTATTTGTAATTTAGACCAAGAGAACCTGTAGGGTCGTGGAATTCAAAAATAACGAAAACGTGTAGCCCCTTTATGTGCAAATGAAACCACTCAAATTCCAACAAACAATAATTTTATTTTCACAATGTAACAATGTACGTAACAAGTTACTTTTAAAATTTGAAAATTATAACAGCTTGGTTTTTCCGGTGACACTGCACACAGCACAATCCCATTGGTCAGATTTAAAATTTAAACCAATTAAACTTCGAGTGCCATACGCGCGTACGGAATGTAAATCAGTGCCATATGCACTTACGGATTGTAATATAGTTATGCGTAATGCGCACGCAAAATCAGGTCTCCAGCAGCCAACTATCCTGTTTTATTTTTGTGATTATTGTGATTGTCGGGCTTACTTACATAGGTAGGTACTTCTATGGAGTTTGGCGTTGCCTCCTCTCTTTCGATTTTATTAGAGATATTTTGAACAATAAATTGGCATGACATTATTTTAATCAGATCGCTTCTGTTTATTTGGGTGTTTGAAATCGCCATGCATGCTGCGACAACGTTGCTACCTACCTTTGAACTATAAATATTTTGAACAGAGTCCTGGAAAATATAGAGCAAACCTAATGGCTGAAAATAACGCTAGATGATGGGTGGAAGAATTTGTGTCTTTGATTAATGATTATATTATTCAATATACATATTGACGTTTTTTGCTTTCGCTCTACTTCTCTGATACTCTATTTATTTTCTTTGGTCGCACCGAAACTTAGATTAATACACCGCATTCTTGTAATGTGTTGATAATACCTACCTAATTATTACATTCGAAATTCCGTAAAAAATTGGAAAATCAATACGCCATACTAGCACTTAATTTGAGATACACTATTTACTGCAGTTGAAAATAGATATAGTTAAAGAATACTTAATTGACTCTTAAGTCGTTTTCAGCTCAACAATATTTTCTGCTGCATAACTACGTATGACATTCTGTAAGTGCATATGGCACCGATTTACATTCCGTCCGCGCGTATGGCACTCGAAGTTTAATTGGTTTTTTAAAATCTGAGCAATCGGATTGTGCTGGGTGCCATATACATACATATAATCCGGAGCTCTTCAGGTTGTTTCCTATATTCAGGAACGAGGATAGATTGCTTGTGAGACGTCACTCCAGCTAATCCGTACTCCAAATGATGATCTTGAGGAATAGGTACCCAGAAAAGAGTTTACAGTATCAGGTTCACTAAATTTTGGAATAATAATTTCCTGAATTCTGTTAAAAAGAGAGTATCTTGCAGAGAAAAATTAATATGAGGTATCGTCCATATAAATTACATGGACGATATTATCGAATTGTGGGTTCGTGATCCGGGTGGTATGAGCAACTATGTATTGCAAATTTGAAAATTATTTTTGTAACAAAACAATTAAATAATTTTTTAAAAAATAATAAAATATTAAAGTAGTAATAAAATAGGTAAGTACAGCAAGATTAAATAAAAATAGATGGTCGTTATGATTGAGCAGAATGCTGCTTCTCGTGCAGACGCGCTGAACAGGCAAAATTTTCTAGAAAAAAATATATAGGCAAAATCGAACAAGATGAAAAAATTTAAAGAAACCAATAAACCTCTAGATTTTCCCCAAATAGATAAAAAAATTAAGTCAAGGTTACTATTGATATTACAAGATAAAGCTGAGTGTGAAAAAAATTAAATCCAGGAACTGCCAAAATTCTTGAGGTGTTTTAATGGAAACTTTTCAAATGAATTTTAACCTCTCCGGATTTCTATCTTAAAATTTCACCCTTTCAGCAATCTTCTTACTCGACAAGATAATGAGGGAGTCAAACAATAATTGGCCTGATAGGTTTCTACCTGGATTCAGTAAAGAGTTGATAGGAATGCACACACAAATTCGGTTTACACCCATTCTATTTAGAGCAAATGGTCCAATAATCCCACACTAACAATTGATTCCGAAAACCAAAGCAGCAATACCTATTTATTTGTCAAAACTCTGAATTGACATTCCTCAGAAAATGTGCTTCCACACAAAATGGAGGATCACAAATGACGTGTCTCGCAGATATAGAAAAACAGAGCTCAATTGTATTAAATACAAGTTAGAAAGTAATAAAAAATTACATACGCGCGCAACTCGTCGCTGCATTGTAGCTAGATTGTATTGTTGCAGAAAAAATGTAGACAATACGAATCGAACATTATAATATTAAAGAAGTGATATATTGTCAATTATTGTTTTACAATGCCTTAAATCAGACAAAAGAAGAGCTGTAAAGTGTATGTTAACATCGATGGCACTTTTATTTTGATAAATTTCATTCGGCAACATCGTACAGTGAAATTGCAAAGGAATATGTCAAGTATAATCTAACATAACATTAAACGACACTGGGATAAGTTCAAGTAATAAGTAAAGTATTAGTTTGCTCTTTGTCGAATAACACGTTACAAAGAAAGAATGAACGATTAATTCTGAACTCGTCCCCGAATACGAATATGATGCAAGCCCGTAACAAACTCGATTTTCATTGGAAGCTCACCTGCAACCCATGAGTTGCGCGCGCACACCAGGTATTACGAGATACGTCAATAGATAAAAAAATAAAATATAATATTTATATTTTCAGGTAGATAAGATAAGAATATCAGGTAATAAAAACGCAACAGTGATGAAGACACTGATGGTGAAGTTGAAATAAATTAAAAAATATTAAGGGAAAATCTAGAAATGAGAATCAACTTGCCTGATCAACGGTTTGCCAGAAAACAGGCCTTTGTAGAACCAAATCCCTTGAAAAAAACCGGTCTCGTGTTTTTTCATACTCAACTGCGTAGTAACCATCGACCAATCAGAAGACAACAATCAACACATACAAAAAGACCGGTTCACGTCATCAATGAAACACCACGCTGATTAAATGGGAATATATGAAAACACAGTAGAATCATTCTAATTGTTTACAAATTATAATGATTTAAATTGAAGTTTATGTTAGAAATACAAAACCACTAATTAATTAGTTAGGTCATCAAGTTAAAAATAATCATTTCAGAATCAGAAATATACTTATTTGCTGAAAGCAAGATAAAAATAAGGCTTGTTCCAACCCGACAAAAACCGCCCTAGAACAGTTCCGGAACCACACTGTATACGAATTTCGGTTTCTAAGTGGCTTCTATGCAAAAATTTTAGGTTTTGCGCAGAATTCTGACAGATAGATATTTGCATTTTTATTTATGGATAGATGGCAATACTGATATTATATTGAATTTATTAAATTTAGTAGATACTTTTCAAAGTACTTGAATTATGATCTATTATTTGGCTCCTTCTGAAATGGCGAAAATACAACTTTATAATGAAAATTAGAAGAAATGGAACATGTTACGAAAATGATAAAGAACATCTCACACTTCTTATGGATTTCGGTCACCAACAGATTTTGTTGAAACTTCAGTATATTATTATAGAAGTCGAAATAAGCATTTTCTTTCATTGCACCGACCTTGTAGCGATACAGAGTGATACTAAAAAATTCGGTTAAAGATTTTTTTTTTAAATTATCTCAGTACTGTAAATATTGTAGGTAATTTTACTTTGGTTGATAAAATCAGGCATTTTTTTTTTTTAAATAAGACAATATATATTCCAAAAGTGATATTATTGCGATCTCTAGCTTATACAGAGTGGTCCCATTTGGACACTTTCAATAGGAAAAGCTTCACGACTTTTTTATTTATGAAAATAATAATTGATTTCCGTAAAAACTTTCTAAAAGCACTTTTTCAAGCAGAATCTTATATGACCTTCTCAGTTTTTTGGTATTCTGCCAGTATTCCGGGATATTGACCAAAGTTCAATTTTCTAAATGGGAAACCCTATAAGTATTCTAATAACTCATTAGATAGGCCTGTTTTGGTTGATTTCAATGATATAATAGCTATTTATACAACAAGTTACGAAATGAGTGTCTTTTAGGCACGCGACGTGAAAATTATCCAACGAGGCGTAGCCGAGTTGGACAACACGTCGAGTGACTAAAAGACATCGTTTCGTTACGTGTTGTATACAAGATTTTTTCTACTGGCGTTTCATACTGAAAAAAACATAATTTTATTCCTCGTAAATAAGAGCCGATCACGCCAAAAAAGTTTGGCACCTGCTTTTGATTGACACCTTTCATGAGGTTTTTTTGATTGAAAATTGAAATCCTTTTGAAAAAACAACAGAAAGTTCTGTTTTGAGTAACCCAAACGTTCACTTTAGTAGTTCAAATAATTGCATTTACAACATTTATGAAAAAATAGACAAAATTCAAATCTGTGTTTTTTATTTCTGAACAATGAGTGACACTTTTAGGCACTAGTGCTTAAAAGTGTCACTTTTACGCACTAGTGCTTAAAAGAATGCCATTTAAAAACTAAAATGACAATCGAAAAGTCGCTATTATGAAACGTCAGTAGAAAAACAAAGTTTGATAGGTTTATCTTTAAGATTTTTTGAGAAAAAAAATCAAAATCCTTTTTTGTCATGAGAACCTTCGTTTTAGAAAAGGACTTTATATATCTGTAAGGAAAATGAGAAAGGTCATTTTCCAAAACATTGTTTCTTATGACAAAAACATATGGAAGGTACCTGTCCCAAACAAGGCCACATTAAGAAGTTTTATTTCTTCCTAACATTATCCACCAAACCCAACAAAAATCTATTACTTGAATATTAACTCCAATTTATTTATTTTTTCATATAAGTGATGGTTTTTGCGTAAAAC